TTAGTCTGCCTCAGATTATGGCGTCAGCTTAAATAGTTAGTGACTTGCATAATGCCTCACTTGCCATGACCACAGACTAGTCTTAATTTGTATGTCGACAGTTCTACTTTTAATTTTCGGATATTCTTTAACAAGTTTATTTTACGCATTTTTATTGCCTATTAAATGGCTATTTTTGGTACTATTTGGATTCTAATATGCTAGAGTTTTCTAGCTTCACATACATCTTCATTATTAACCTTTCTTTATAATGAGTAGATCAAAGTTCACCTGGTCGCATCCTTTTTCTTGAAATCGGGTGTTTAAAATTGGTATGATCTTTTTGTCCAAGCCATTAATCTACAGCTCAACTTTTGCTCACATTTTTTCTTTCTATACTTTCCTCACTAGCTGTATCAATGCAATTTCAGTATCTTTCTCAATTGTTCACTTATTAACTTTACATTTATATTTTTGTGACTATTAAACGCCTCTAACACTGACACCTATTACCAAAGGCCTACTGCTAGAATGAGGCAGAAAACTATCGATTTCAAACGGTGGAATAAATAGCAGAAATTCCGTTTGGGCTCGTCCTTCATCATATTCTTCTATTTATATTTCTGCCTATTTCTTGATTGTTTTTTGGGTTAGTTGGCTAGTCACATTTATTTATTGATGATTCTCATAAACTATCGTTAATTTAGAATGTGTTATGTAATGACAGTAATCTTTACTTTTAAATGGCTTTTATATTGAATTTTTATTATAGCTCGTAGTAATTTATCTGTTTTTTTTTCAGATACCAACTAGCTGTCTAGTCCAGCAAAGCCGTGAGGAACGACTGCGTCGAGAGGTAGGCGGTTTAAAATAGGACGCATTTGCAATCGTATATTTTCAAAAAATATAACTAAGATAACTTTTTAGTTTTCGCATTAAAACGACTGCTTTGAACAAATCCTTTATGATTACATGAATTCGTGGCAATTCAGACGTTTATTTTAGTCTACTGTCTGCTTTGTATTGATGTTTTGTTAATTTTCTTTTCGCCATTATTTAATCAAATTCGGCATCAGTAGTCCCCCATTATCAAGGAACGATTGGATGGCGACTCAATATTTTAGGGAGGTTCTTCAGTAGAGATATAAATAAAGTGATACTGGTGAGTCGAAGTGAATATAAGAATTGTACTTGAGTTAAATTATTTAGATTCAAATCACGAAAAAAGACTTTTTTCCCATTACATCTGTGTCACCACTGTATTTACAGCCAAACTCCTCTCAGCGCTGCTCTTACCTTATAGCGTGAACGTCTAGAAAATGAGGCTGCCCTTCGAATACAGTCATTTATTCGCGGTTGCCTTGGCAGATCTACGGCCGTAAGTACCAAATGCTATCGAGCCATCACCAATTGGTGTAATCTCAGTCTAGTTTTATAATAGACCTAGCACCACTTATTACTAATATTAATTCTATTTACCTTTTAGAGATGCAGGATTCGTGCTATTTTTGATCAAACTCATACAGAATTGAGTCAAACACCAACAAAGGGTTGCATAATCCATTTGAAATGCTTATTGCGTTCCTTCAACCTTTTTTTCCGGTCAGATATTGATAAAGCTCGACTTGTGAGT